AGCTCCTGGCTTTCCAGCCGCCGTCCTCACATCCCAAGCGAGTCGGCATGAGGTTTCCGGGCGGGAAGGGCAACTGAGGAGCTCTGCTCCCGCCCGGGGTCAGCAGGGCAAATAGGGGACTGCCTGCGGTTGCCTGTGCCTCAGTCTCCCAGCTGTAAAAGAGAGGACGCTCTTCGTTTGCCAGGGTTGTTTAAATTGTAGGCTCCCCCGGGCCGAGGGTGAGCCTCCTCCTCAGGCAGAGCTCCTACCAAATCAGGGCTCGGGGACCTCGGAGACCTCTAGGTGCTTAATATAACACCAATGAGAATTGGAGTCGCCGGTACCTGGCAGTTTTTCCTCACTCCTTTCCTTTCCGCGCAGCCCAGAGTAGCAGTTTCTGTGGAGACTGCGTTTGGGCTGTGCAGCTATTAGTTACGTATCATTTAGTCCTATAGGATCTGAACTGCCTACAGGAGCTAAAGGGGATGGCGTTCGGGACACATCAATTTGCTGACCTCTGAAATAATTAAGCAAGCAATGCCAGTTTTATGTCCGGTTTTAAACGAGCGGCACGCTGTTCGTTTTTGCATTTCTCTGCCTGCTGTGAATGGATGCCTCTAATAGAGGCAGTGGGGTTGAGGAACTTCTTTTCCTTTGGAAACGTCTCCTCGGAAAATTAGCTTTTTCTCCTGTATTCCTGTATCTTTGCATACTTCCCCTCCTTCTCTTTGTATTTTTTTGTTGTTGTTGTTCTTTGTTCTTCCCTGAGGAAGATGGAGATAATAAAATTTTCTTTCTTCGTTTAGCTTCCCAGATGATCTTTGTGTACTTTACCAGACTGCAGCGTAGAAAACAAAGCCTCATTTATTGCCTAACAGCATATATATGTTTTATCATTAATGTGATGTTTGAAATGCATGGGGCTGATAACAGATAGGGAGATCAAAGTCGTCTGTCAATTGACAGCAGCGAGCGGCTTGCAGGTGCTTCTCATGCCAGTGTTGCACAGAAACATGTGGCCCTTTGCCGTGGCGTACAGTGCATGCGCTCCGTTTTTCCTGTGCAGCAAGGTAATGCTTCTGTGAGCTTTGCTCCGAGAAAACCGCTGTGGCTCGGGAGCTGGGGGATGCTGCTGGCAGCAGGCCACCGTGCGCTGTGGCCACAACCATCTTCAGAGTGCAGAAAGGGCGACGTTAAATTGGCCCTTCAACTTGTCGCCCACAAAGACGGCGGCTTCAAGGGTAGCTTAAGGGTAGCTTGATTGGTGCCATAGCCTGGGAGCAGAAACCTGGGTTCCCGGGAGGGTCCCTGTCAAATGCTGGAAAGGGAGATGACGGTGCATTTTGGTGCTGCACCAGGGACTAGGTGGCCGATGCCTCCCAGCTTTTGGTGGCCGCAGCTGCATCAGGCACGAGGTGTGGGTGGGCAGGGGTCCAGCCTGTGGGACTCCGAGGAAAGCAACAGTGGGGCGCATGCAGAACAGCAGAAAATGTTACTGGATCGCCGTGTGGTCCGCAGGATAAAAGATGACACATTTGCTGAACGGCTTGATGATTGCAAAGAGGACCGCGATGTCCTGGGTGAAACCTGGACGTGAGGCAGAAGCCTATGTCCCTTTCATTAACTGTCGGGTCAGCAGTGCCGTCCTGCTCTTACGAACCCAGCTGCGGCAACTGCCCGTTCTGCGTTTGCAGCCTTTCAATTTATTAAAACGCTCTGAATACACATCAACTTCCTTGGCTCAGTGTGCTATCACGTAACCCCCTTGAGCTGCAAGCCCCGTGGTGAACACGCTGGAAGGCAGCCTGCAGCTCCTGCGAGGGGGAGGTGGGTGCTGCCTGTTGAAGGCTTCTGACAAAACCAGTGGCGCAGCCCCCGGGGTGGTTGCGCAGGGGTCGGGCTGCCCGACCACGCGCAGGGGCCGCTGCAGGAGGCTAACGCTGTCCTCATGCTGTCGATGTGCCGGTACCAGCTCTCTTCTCTCTCGCCTTTGAGCAGATCTACATCCACGGGTCTAGAGCACGAACTCTTCTCTGGTTTGGGAGGCAGCAGTTTTAACTGAAATTTAAAGGAAGTTACTCTACCAGTGTAACTTAGGTAACTGCGGCCTCATCTGCACTTGAAAATCATGCTCCTGTGTGGGTGATGAATTTTTATTTTTACCCGTATGGCAGCATTAGAGCTGATTCTGGTGTGGACAGAGTTATATTGCTATGAGGACTCCATACTGCATGCACATGTTCTTGTTCCTTTATAGGAGTGAGCTAGATTAAGAGTGTTCTTATTTCACTCCTAATGCTCTACATGAAAATATAGCAAAGGATTGGGTCAAGCAGTTTATTTGTACTCTATTGCTGTAGTTAAAGGTAGAACTTTTGTGTGTGGACAAGCCCCGAGAAAAGATTAACCTGGAGAAAGTTAATAAAAAGTGCCATCCTAAATTATTCATGAATCCATTTGTATTATGCTTGCTGGGAGGCCTTTGTTTTTCGCAAACTCTTATTTATTAAAATCTGACAAGAATATCGGTTTTTGTTCAATAATAAATCTAAGCCTGTGTGAGGCTGGTGATATCCTTGCATAGTAATACAGAATACAAATAAAGTTACATGGCAGGGTGAATACATTATTTGGGAAGCATAGATTATTATTCAGGAGAATTTTCTTTTACTTGCCATTGGAAAACAAGTAAAGAAATCCTAATCAGGAGATATCCTCTTGGTTTGAGATGAAGGACTTGATTCTGCAAAGGATTTTAAGTTTTTTAAAACTTAGGTATTCAAAGTTAAGTGTCTTTCCAGTGTTTTTGCAGGTTCTGGACCTGTGTTTGCTAAGTGAAATAGTTCAGACAATCTTGTTTCAAACTTAGTTCTTCTCATCCTTTTTCCTTTTTCTTAACTTCAGGAGAAGAGCATGGAAGTCATGCTCCTAGCGTGTAGATTTTGAATTTTCCAAAGCATATCCATACATGCCCACTTCCTTTTGTGCCTTAGAAAAGGTTAGGAAGATTATATGCAGAAAGCAGGAGAATGAAAAGAAGCCAGGAAGAGAGCTTTTGCTGTTTGGGATGAGGATCGTCTGAGTGTGCTTTACCGCAGTCATTTCTTAAAAGTAGGCAGAACTTTGCTTAAAAAGCAATTTAAGATATTTTTTCAGTATTTTCAATTTATTAGTTTTAGGAGATTTTTTTCCCTTCTATTCATTCTCTTTCTCTGCCCTTACTTGTAACTGAATTCAGTATTAGGAAAGGAAAAATAGGTGATAGATAGAAAGACGGAGAAGAGTAAACCAGAAAGAACGAGCTTGGCTATGGAAGCAGAACTGGGAGTTCTGGTGGCTGGACTGAGCTGGAGGTTGAGGAATAGATTGGTTTGCATAAGCTTAATATGAAAGTAAGCCACTGTCTCATAAAAGCAGCTTGAGTAGGAGATGCTCCTGTCCCACATTTTAGTCCTGGATACCTTTAAGTGCAAGGTGCACTGTGACATGTGGTTGTGAGTATCATGCCTTTACTCCACTGGATGGGAGCTGGAGCTCTGCAGCTTCCCAAGTTTGAAGTGAGCTAGAGCTGTCACACATGGGCTTTGTGTAACATACTGTATGGTGCCCCTTAGTGCTAACACCACAGGAACCCTGAAAGGTACAGGCAGAAGGGATGTCTAGGATATCATCCTGTTTTGCCAAAGATTGGTCAATTCACTGTTTAAAATGAGGCCACAGCTCTCCTGTGTGCATGAATTAGGGTCTGAGGAAACGTTTGAGCCTTAACAGGCGGCTACTTTGTTATAGCTGGGCAAAGTGAGTGAGGTGGAAGAGGTTTGATTTCAACGCTGAAGAAAGTAAGAACATGTAGATCCTGAATCAGAGGTACAAGTGGAGCCTGTGGGTTGGATTTGGGAAATAGCAGTTCCCTCTGGAAACTCACTAAAGGACACAAGAAGATGTCTTCCTTCCTTCCTGAAGACTTTTTTTCCTCCTTCTTCTCTGCCATTTGCTATGAGCTTTGGTACAGATGTCAAGGTAGACTGCAAAACCTTGCTTTCCAGCCAGGATATTTGTCTGACTTGTTAGCCCCCGGTGAAATCAGTGCTGCTGCCGCTTCATTGCCATGGGAACCTTCAGTTACTAAATTTAATCCAGCCCAGGGTTTGCTTGCCTGTTCTGTTGCTGCAGTGTAGACAGGTGATAAGCAATGTATCGATACTGTGGTATATCACGGCAAAACGATTAGGCGACGATATTACCGCAGCATTGCAGCCTCTGCGGTATTGCTCTTGCATTCTGCTCCGAACTACCTGGCCTTCCTGCACCTCCCGTCATCCTCCTCTTCCTCCCTCCCTCCCTCCCTGCAGAGCAGAGGCAGCGCTGTCTGTGTGGTCTTTCTGGTCCCGCAGCGGGCAAAGGTAGGGCCCATAGGCAACCTCTGCTTGCTGGTGGTACTCCCTTCTCCTCGCTGCAGAGCTGCCAAGCATGGGCTGCCCACAGGCCGTGAGGGATGCATACGGCTGGGGAGGGACTTTTTAAAATGCCTTTACTGCAGCCGCACCGTGGGGCACTTCTGAAAAGGGTCATGGTAGACAGGGCTTTGCCACGGAAAGGCATTTCATACCACTATAACTTCAGGATAAAGGATCTTGAAGTTCTTGCAGGGTTGTTTGGGTGGTTGGTTACTAACGTTTTGCCCTTCTGTAGTTTAATTTGGTGATGCTATGTCACTTCACATGAAATTCAGCAGTGAGCATAGAGTGCCTAAAGGATTATGCTAAGATGCTGACTGATAACTGATTAATCAGTAAGAGGTTTTAAACGGTGTCCTTTGAATTCCAGGACCGTGCATCTTAATTTAAAAACTCATAATTGAAAGGGATGGATAAAGATATGGATTTACCCACTGTAACATATTTTCTGTGATATTTGATCATACCAAGTATTTTCAAGCCAGCAGAGGCATTTTAGGACAGGTGATGATTCTCTGATTGAAGTAACCTGCTAAAATGACTCTCCACTTTCTTTCTTTGTAGGTACTACATTGGTCGCCAGATGTTTGTGGTGGTCTCCACGCCAGAGATGATCAAGCATATCTTAGTGACAGACTTCAATAACTTCACCAACAGAACTGTAAGTAGATAGAAAAGTTGTCTGTGTGGAAAGAAGTGGTAGTACTGCTCGTTTGAGTTTGGACCAAGAGTGACTGCAAGAGAGCTGGATATAGAGGAAAAGATGCGCAACATGGTTCAGTAAAACTTAGAGATATATAAACCCACTATATACGTTTTGGTCAAAGACTTCTGTTATCAGGACGCTCTGAGGCTAAAACAGAATGGTGTTAAAAGAGCTGCTATGCACCTGTGATTGAGGCACGGGGTAGATGCTGAATAGAGAGTGTTTCAGTATCCAATTTTGCTACTGTCCTCCTGTGAAATCCTGGGGAAATCACTCAGTAACTCTCTGCCTTCGTTCCCAAACTGTAATATGGGGACAGTATTACTTCCTTTCTCCCAGCCATGGTCTGTTTTGTATTTTTAGACTTGCTGCGGCAGGAGCAGGCTGCCTGGGACAGGGGCATGCCTCCTGTAGCTAACATATGTTGCTTTATCGTATTTGTCGCTGTGAAAATAACAAATGGCAGAGAATAAAGTTGGGTTTAGCAAGGACTTATATGTATTCTGTTGATTACTTATTTATATACACGTATATATTAAAAGCTCTTTTTCAAGGGCTGTTTGGAACAAATAACGAAAGGGGAATGGCTAGAGCGATAGTAAAAGATTTACAGCTGTTCCACAACCTTTTACAAGGAAATACTGTCACTCTGACCACACGTCGCCTCAGTATCATCTGTTCTCTTCTTCCTCCTGGCCCCTTCCTGTGCTCAAACCTGCTGAAATAAAACCACATGTATTCAGGAGGGCTGTGTACGCCCTCAGAGGAAATGTCGTCTCTGATCAGCGATCTGCCTCCTCTGCCCAAACCATCAGTCTACTCACAGATTGTCCACTGTGTTTGCTTGTGCTGGTACATAAGGTCCACCTTGTGAATACCTGTATTTTAATAACTACTTGTACCAGGGTCCCTTTGTTCTGCTTATAACTCCCATCTGAATGGAGGAATCGCAGCATGCGGGTTTCTTAGACTGAAGTTCTCGCACATCATATGGGTCCCTTCCCCGTTTCTCTGTATTTGAAAAAACTTCCTGTCCCTTTCCTTCCTCTGTCCCCAAGCAGGAACCCTATCTCTTCTTGTCTGCACCTTCCCCAGATTTTCTGCCTTATTCATAATGTTAGCTGATATCCAAATAACAGCTCTCTGAAATTAGAGAGCATTCCTTTGAGGATACATCGAGATATTCATTCTGCTCTTAATTTTAGTCAGCCTTGTCATTAGAACACATCTGTCTGTGCATTGTTAGCCCCCTTATATTGGCAGAATTTTTCTTTCTGTTAGGGCTTTTATGGTTTCTTTCTCCTTCCCTTGGTTGTACAGCTGTCTGTCATGGTCTATAACACTTGTGTTCCTCTCTAAAGTTCAGGTAATTCAGGTTGCTATAGCCAGTGTCTCACTTCCTTTTTTTTTTTCTTCACCAGAGATCTTTTAGACACAGCTGTCTGTAGGTTCATATCTTACCATTAGCATTCGACTGTCCCCTGAACCGTTGGTGGGTTTTCTGCACAACACCCTGTTTTATGTGCAAGGGACCTGAGGCACAGACAGAGTGGTATCCCCAACACTAACCAGAAAACCTGTGGCAAATGAGAAAATTTAATTCCGACCCCTTGCTCTAGCAAAGGGTGCAATTTTCCCACTATGCGCTGTTGCTATTTCTGGCTTGGTTCATGCCCCCAGTCTTATTCAAATAAACTTGTTTTGTCTTATATGCTTTTATCTGCTTGTTCTGTGCTCTTCTCACACAGCTACAATCTTTCAGGTGGTCTTATCTCCCTCATCTTGCACTTTGTTCCCTCTCTTCCATCCGTTGCTCTTCCTTTCCTGAGAAAGAGCAGCTTTCCCTTTCTGGGTTCTGCCACATCCAGGTCTGGGCTCTTTTTCACCTTTTGAATTTTTACCCTGAAAGCTGCCTTTGCTCTTGAATTCACAGTCAACTCTCTCAGTGAAGTGTTTTGTTATGGTGTGTATTAAGGTATCTGTACAAAAGTAAATAATGTTGGATGGTATGTAATGAAGGCCAGTATTCAAATGTGATTTTGATTGTATGTGAATAATGGTAGCAGGGTGAGAGCGAGAAAAGCACTTTCCAAGTAACAGAATTCTTTCTTCTCCTATTGACTGAATAAATGTCATTTTAGGGCTTTCAATGGGATTGCCACTGTTTATATTAAAATTACTCAAAGCAAACTCCTTCACTTTAAGTGAGAGTTTCTATTTGCCAGTGGAGAATTTAAGGAAGAGGGATGTATTTTGTATTTTATTTTACCCCTTCCTTCCCAAATGTTCTGCTGATGAGTGGTTGTAGGAGTCCCTTTGGAGTTGGTGCTCTGCACCAAGCTAGGCTAATAGATTTCAGTCCAGACATGGCATACGTGTATTATTTCCATCCCAGGCCTTTTTTGGCTTGACAGTGTGAGTCTTTCAGGGTGAGAAGGATGGGGAAGGGGATGGGACTGATGGGTTTGAACAGGCCTTGGGAAAACCCATTACAAAACCCACTACATTCCCCTCTCCCCCAAAAGCATTGCCAAAAACAAGATCTGTACCTCATGTACCAGAGGGGAAATGTCAGTTTATTAACCCAGAGCACCCTGACATAATACACTGTAGCAGTTGGAGCAGTCGTATGTTAACAGTGTGTCACGAAACTGCATGATGTGTGGCACTAATTCTAAAAGCTAAGTGTATTATGGGGTGGAAGAAGGTGATATGCCGCATGTATTCTGCTGCTCTTCCAATTATTGCTTTTATATGTGTGTGTGTATGTATATATATATATATATATAAAAGAGACAATGGGAAATTGTACTTGTGAAGTGTTGTAAACAATGTACTTGGCAGACAAGAGCCGACAGGATGATGATTCATTGAACCTGGAGCTTTTATTAAAGCTGTCTATAACGTGATGCCATGCCTTGTAGGAAGAATGACCTTAATCCATGATTGTCCACTTGCTGGCTACTTGCTGAAAGTATTCGAAAGGTCTGTAGGAATCACAGTGGTTTTAATCTGCTGAGAGGACTCTTGGAAGAGTTTGCTTAGTCTAACACCTAGGCAAGAGATTGCATGGTTCAGTGAAGGAAACAGGTAAAGGTCTGTGTCATGCATGGCCTTGGGGGCTCAATTCAAAGTGTATGAAGACACCATGTATAGATGTGTCACTGTGATTGGAAACTGCTTCTCCCCTTGTGCCAGGCTATTGCATATGGGGATTCCTGATCCGGAGCAGTTCTCATGGAGTCAGAGAAGACATCTTTGCCTGATTTTCTTCTGGAGGAATAGGGAGGGTTTACCATCACTCCTGAAATAATGAAACACTCATGTTTCTCCTCTTTCTGCTAGAAGAAAGCTGGCATGACATTCTTTTGGCCTTGAAGGGACCTAATTATGGTTGTACTGGTACTGGCAGTAGTTTTGAGTAGCTTAACTTGATTTTTTTTTGTATTGACTCGTTGAATACCATAAGGATTCCTTGTGTGTGGAGAGGAGCTCCCAGCACTCCCCGGTGGTGGGCAAAGCTCAGTGGGCCAAGGTATGGCAGTATCACCAGGTGCTGGATTAATTGGCCCTGTGCCTGCTGAATTCGAATGTCTACACTTGACAGCTGTGGAAAAGGCAATGTCTTGTGGTCTGTCTCCGCCTCCAGAGAGACCTAGGCCACTTGTGCACTTTTCCCACATTGAGCTTATCTGCTCACTCATTATATGGACAAACTAGATTTTGCATGTGAACAGAAGCTAAGCTATTGTTCGTTTTATGCGTTTATGTTTCCCTTTGACGTTATACATTTCACATCTTCACTATGAATATCTTTTGAATGTTGCTGTAAAGAGCATTTTAGGCTCCCTTGTATCGTTTTTGAGTTACTGATTAGTAATTCTTGTGACAGAAGTATATGGTGACTGCAGAACAAATCTGCTTTAAGGTTCACTTCATTTTTTAACAGGCAGCTAAGTCTAGCATACAGGCTGTTATTTGCCTGTAAGCATGGGGTATATTTTAGTGTTATCCATGTAATCACAGGAAGGCAATAATGACCTCCTATTTTTCCACTTAATTTTTACTTGATTAAGGTGAGTGTTGCAGCCATTTAGAAACAAAAAAGTCTAGCGTAATGTACCCTTATACTTGAGGCATATGAAGTCTTTTCCCTATGTTTTTAATTACAGTCTAAGAAGAAAAGATGAAAATTAGTTTATAGACCTTCTAGCCAAAAAAAAATATGAAATTGATTTTAATTTAGGTTAACCGTGGAAACTTCAGCCAGAACTCTAGGCAGGGCTCTGCCGCAGTAAATGATACCTTCTCCTCACATGCGTGGTAAATTGTCTCTGGCTTAGAAGTTTTCTTTTAAGAGCACTAACACTGTTCCTTAACTTTTTTTAGTTGTGTTGCTGTGTTGTGTGAGACAGGTTTCTGACGTTTTGTTGCATTCTGCCAGGCAAGATAATGATACATAATGTATTTTCCGATTATTTTTAATTCTTACATTGAAAATTTATTTTTGAATTAGTGCTTGGGAATCGTTAAAGTGTACGCTTAAAAATGTAGGAGCAGAATGTTCCGGCGCAGCAATTTGAAGGGAGATACGGCAATTAACCGGTTGGTCTGTCATTTAAATGACAAATCGTCTCAGAAGCTGCAGGCCGAGTATTTGCCCAGAACACAGGCCAGTGAGCCCTAAGGCAGAGGTAAGTGCTGGCTAGTCAAGGCTGGTCTGACTGCAGAAGTCGGTGTTTCGCTGGCATTACTACAGCTAACACAAGTGGAAACTAGTAGTTGGTTCAGACCAGATCCTGAACTCTGCATCCCAACCAACGGGAGGAGGGTGACTTTTTTAAATACACAAATCTATACCTATTCCAGTAGCTGTAATATATTGCCACTATTTTCTCATCTGGATTTTTGCTGATATAGTGCAAAAAGTAACAAATACTGGAAAAACAACAAAT